GAACGTCCCTTGTTGAAAAACTAAGTCCCTGGTGGTGCTGGTCATACAAGCGAAACACTTTGGTAAACCCTGGATCAAAGTGGAGAGTAATCTGTGAATCGAACTCAGACTCATTGATGACTGTCACTGTTAGAGAACTATATGGTGAACTGTTGGCGTCTGTGGGATGAACTCAGCATATGGGCCTTCTACTTTCAAACACAGACAGTAAGGAAGGAGCAGTGAAAATAGTTTATTCTCTGACTAAATGCCTGATAAATAGTTGAGATTCTTCATGTTATACAACTGTGAAGCTGAACATGTGACAGGACACACATATTTGACATGCTGTAAGTTGGTATATTAATGTGTGGTATGATGTTGTATAGCTCAATGTAATATTTTTGGAATTTTGTTTCAAAAACAAATACATCATACTTGTCATGCCAATGTCAACGCTACTGCCAGTACTGTTTATGGGACAATGGTGACAGAGTAGATTTTGTTTGCTTTTAGTGACCCATGCATTGTCATCATTGTTTCTGTGATGAAGGCATTGTCATCATTGTTTCAGTGATGCATGCATTGTCATCACTGTTTCAGAGACACAGGCATTGTCATCATTGTTTCAGTGATGCATGCATTGTCATCATTGTTTCAGAGATGCAGGCATTGTCATCATTGTTTCAGAGACGCATGCTTTGTCATCGTTGTTTCAGGGACGCATGCATTGTCATCATTGTTTCAGAGACGCATGCATTGTCATCATTGTTTCAGAGACGCAGGCATTGTCATCATTGTTTCAGAGACGCATGCATTGTCATCATTGTTTCAGAGACCCATGCATTGTCATCATTGTTTCAGTGATGCATGCATTGTCATCATTGTTTCAGAGATGCAGGCATTGTCATCATTGTTTCAGAGACGCATGCTTTGTCATCGTTGTTTCAGGGACGCATGCATTGTCATCATTGTTTCAGAGACGCATGCATTGTCATCATTGTTTCAGAGACGCAGGCATTGTCATCATTGTTTCAACAATGCAGGCATTGTCATCATTGTGTCCGCAATGCATGCATTGTCATCATTGTTTCAGCAATGCAGGCATTGTCATCACTGTTTCAGAGACACAGGCATTGTCATCATTATTTCAGGGACGCATGCATTGTCATCACTGTTTCTGTGACCCATGCATTGTCATCATTGTTTCAGAGACGCAGGCATTGTCATCATTGTTTCAGAGATGCAGGCATTGTCATCACTGTTTCAGTAAACATAGAATTGTCTTCGTTGTTTCAGTTAAATAGTTACATACATCATATGTATCATGTTGATTCCGGTTGCAACAGTGGGAAAATGCAAGTCTTATCACCTATGTTAGTTCAAACAGGGTAAAACATTGTCAGGTACATCAAATCATTAATGTGTCCTATTTCACTATCACTCCAAAACAAAAATACTTATGACATATGAAGATATAAGGACAGAATCCAAAAGCTGGTCTGGTCAAATATATGTGGGATTGGGTCAACACTGAGTATTTCGGTAACAGAGTATTCATTGTCTGAAGTAATGATAACTTACTCTGCTATTTAAACCACCAGTGGTTTAACCTTTGTTATCTACCTATTTAAATAATAAACACATAATTTAATGTCTTTTTCTGAACTCATTTAACAAGTTTTCCCGAGTCACCAGGATAGTGTTACAATCTAGCTCATATCATTGATATCGCGATTCATTGTGTATATATACCATTTCATGATATAAAAGAACGAAGTGATGAAAAAAAATAAATAAAAAAATAAAAAAATCCAGCTTCAAACTTTATACCCAACCAAGTTTTAGCAGTTTATTGAAGTTTGGCAGTTTTCAAAATTAAGGGTGACCCAGCGTCCAAGAGCATTCCAACTTCAGGACAACATTATGATGGTAAGGACAGCCTTACCTTTATCGTTAATACTGAAATAGTGAAATCCTGTGATAATCTGTGACCCTTGTTAACATTATGAGAAGCTCTATCTGATCAAGTCAAGTGAAACAGCCACAGGCAGTAAATGCAACTGGTAATAATATCCCAAACTTTGTGTTCCTCATAATAAAGAAGTTGACATCCATCTGTTCTCTTCCTTAGTGAGTGGATGTTGTTTTATGCCGCAGTCATTAATATCACAGCTACATCGGAGTGACGAGAGGAACTGACATTTGATAGCACTATGAACATTCAAGCATGATCAGCCTAGTAACAGGTGTCCATTACATCAGTAACATAAACATGTCATAATCATCTACAATTTGGAAACTACCATTGCCCCTCACACAATCTATCAGATCTATTTACCTCGTTGTGTTGTTAAATATGGTTAGTGAATATAAAACGTCAACACCAGAGAACAACCAGTCTAGACAACAGTCTCTGCAACAGACACACACTATGGTCATAAAAGGCCAAAATATCGAAAACAACATGTATATTTCTTTTCATTCATACACTGTGATAGCTATTCTCCATGTACAGTTTCAGAAAGATCACACGTTACTCATCAGTGAGCAACTAAAAGCACTAAGAAAGTAGAAATATTAACACTGCAAGAAACAAGACAGTATATCAGGGTATGAAACTCCCCAAAATTTCAGCCAGACCACAGGACTGGCTAGCTGAAATACTTGCCAGCCCTGACCAAAACCTGCCTGCCCACTATAATCATATGTTTCTCAGGATAAGCTAACAGGGTTTCTTTTTGGTTACATTTTATCATTCATCTTTACATGTGAATTAATGCTTATCATTGGGAAATATTTAGAATATTTTCACATATGAAATATAACCTGACCGTCGGGCAGGGGGATTTGAAAATCTGGCAGCCCGAGTTGAAATCAACCCGTCTCGGACGGTCGGGCAGGCAGGCAGGTATTTCGAACACTGAGTATATCCTTCACAACATCACACAATCATGTAACAAAAACACTATAGTGAGTGAGTTGGGTTTAATGCCACTTTTAACAGTCAGCTTAATGTGGGGGGGAAAGACTGAAGTGATGCAGGTCTCAGACGTTTACCACTTCGGTGAAACCCACGAGCACGGGTATGGTGCTGACAAGCCTAGAAACATAATCGGGGCGAACCAGGATTCGAACCCACGATCATAGGTTTCTGTTGTGCCCAAGGGACGCAACTCTGCGAATCGCAGCGCCTTAGACGACTGGGCCACCCGTGCCCCTCAAAAACACTATACTTACATGACAACAGAAGAGATCATCCAACAAGCAGTGTATCAAGGCAACACTTTAAACATCAATCCTTGATTTACATGTACCAACAACATGTCTTCATTTACACACTTGTGTATAAGTGCCAGGTACAGACAGTTAGCTTATAAATAAGCACTGGTTTTTGTAAATGCTGCACGACTTATACTATACATATAGCAATTTACTCCCGCAATGCAGAAGATTAATGATACTCACTGAGGTGCCAGATATCTGATGGGCAGGTGCTTGAGTGAGTGAGTTGGGTTTAACGTCGCTTTTAACAGTATTCCAGTTATATCGCGGTGTGTCAGCTTAATGTGGGAGGAAAGCCCCAAGTCTAAGACGTTTACCACTTCGGTGAAACCCACGAGCACGGGTATGGTGCTGACAAACTAGAAACATAATTTGGGCGAACAGGGATTCGAACCCACAATCATAGGTTTCTGGCGTGCCCAAGGGACGCAACTCTGCACGGCGAATCGCAGCGCCTTAGACGACAGGTGCTTGAAAGGTACCTGTGCAGTTATAAGAAGGATTATGGTATGGCTCAACTATTTAGCTTCTGTTTTACTACCATTATTATGCCCAAAATTTAACAAAAGATAAAAAGACATTCTTAAATTATGAATGCCATGATAACTGATAGTTATCTTTTAAATGTAGATGTTTGTAACAACTTTTATTTCATCATTTTATTTTAACGGAAGTTCAGCACATGTTTTGATATTGCTACATATATCCATATATTGACCATTAAATATAAACAAACACGAATTAAATCTGATTATGACTCTTGTGGTGGGTGGTGTTTGAGGGAGTTTTCACATCCTGTCATAGACAAACTACCTGGACCTACACTACATTACAAAAAGAGAACAAGCATATTAAGTGTACAAAATGTTCCCATATAAAACATGCAGAATACTATGACACTGTTGACATACTACTTATTTGAAGATGATCACACTGAAGTCAGTCAATCCTACAGATGAAAAAGTATTCACACACAACCCATTTGCCCCGCAAACCTGTTTATATATTTACAAACAATGCAAACTCTGGCTATCTATGCAACAATATAAGATAGATGTGTGAAAAATCACAAAGAACAAAGAAGAACAAGGTGTGGTCTATTTCATGATAAAACAATGTTCTTTCATGACATAATTTCTTGAGTTTCGAACATGTGCTCTCAACCCCATGACGCTGTTAATTGGACGACATTAATTTGGATAGGGTAGTGACCAGTGATTTGTTCAGATGTAGCTGGACAACGCAGATAAATGCAATGGCTAGTTGTAATGCTACTTCATTTTATTAACATCCTTAAAGAGACTGTACATGATGCTGATATCTCAAGTAAGAAATAAATGACTCATGGTAGTTCTTTATCATACAATAAAACACTGTGCCCCTCATGGTATATTCTCCCTGCAGCGTCTTACTGTATGATAAACAAAACCCCTTGCCATTACTTTGTAAATACATGCCATATCGCCAAGACAAGCAAACTGTCCTGCAGAAATCTGTATTGTTTAAATACATCACTTACAAAAATAAATACCATATTCGACGTAATAAGCGCCCCGCTCTAATAAGCGCCCACGGCGATATTTGCTAATATATTGACTAGTGAACAATCCCAATTAGTACCCCTTCCGATTGATCAATGTACACAGGACTTATTTATTGGTGTATAATACGTATGTTATATGCATTCTTAATTATGGGAAATTAAATTCTGGAAAAAATATATCTGTCGTATATAAACATTTCAGGCTGTCAGCATAAACCACGAAATTTACAATCTTTCAACTCTGTTTTTTTCACCAAAATAATATTCTAATAAGAGGCCCCTATTTCTAACTTTGAGAGCGCCCTGGGCGCTTATTATGTCGAATACGGTAATTGAATCTAGACCTTATTATGAGACTAAAACTTCAAACACAATCATAATAATGGATATAATTAAATTAACAATAAAACACACATTGAAATACAGTCACAAAAAGTACTTTGTAAATGAGAATAAATTGAGTTCTGAGTCAACCAACCTATAGAGTAAAAAGTCCCTGAAAATCTGGAAGAAACCCTGTCAAACACACTTTATCATACACATCAGTCACTGGCACAAACAGGTCAAATCTTGCTTCTCTGTCAATATCTTCATTTCAACATCGGAAATAACACGTCCTCAGAGAACCAGCTCATTTCGATAAATGGAACATACAGTAGGATTATAAATGATTTTTGTCAGTGGAACAATTAAGCACATTTCACAAAAATATGTCTTTTACATCTGTGTAACTTCCAACATGATGCTACTTTAATAATGACTGTTCCATGGATCAACTAACTTCAATTGCAAAACCATACTGTAAGGGAGATAACCCAGATTCACTTTTATCCAAGACCGGTGATCAATTAACCAACAAATGACAATCAAAGAGTATCATTTTATAGAGAAATTAATTTCCCCGAACAAATATGGCTTCACTTTGAATGTGTTTCCCAGACATTGAAATGACAACACCAGACAAAGAATGACTTCCATTTACTCCAGACTGGAATAATGAAGGAATTGCTTTTCAGGCAATGATAATTTGTGAGACTGGTGGGAAAACAAAGTGGTACCTGCATGTCAGAATTATCAATTATCATGATGAAGTGTTAGCAATTAAAGAGGTTCTGGGGTCCTTGATGTATGGAAAAAAGTATGGCTATCATTAAATTCATCAAAGTTGTTACTCATAACTGACATTTCATTTTTGGAAAGAAATTTCAGTGTGTCAGTTTTTGATTTTCTTCAATCTAACATTGCAATCCCTATGCATAAGAGTGAGTGAGTATGGTTTTACGCCACTTTTAGCAAATATTCCAGCAATACGAGGCTGGGGGACACCAGAAATGGGCTTCAAACAATGTACCCATGTGGGCAATATCGACCCCATGCATACGGGGCATGAGGCATACGACGTGTGTCACGCTGAGACATCAGTAAAGTTGTTGGGAATCAAGTGTGAGTGAGTGGGTGAGTTCGGTTTTACGCCGCTTTTAGCAATATTCCAGCAAAATCACGGCGGGGGACACCAGAAATGGGCTTCACACATTGTACCCATGTCGGGAATCGAACCCGGGTCTTTGGCGTGACGAGCGAACGCTTTAACCACTAGGCTACCCGACCGCCCGTTGGGAATCAAGAAAAAGCTTGCCAAATGTTGCCAGTCTTGGACTACCATGTTCAAGTCTTGGACCCCTAAATTTCCAACTGAGAGTCCCATGACTCGAACAGAGATAGACCCAGGTTAATCCCTGATATGCATTTGAACCCCATAAATGTTTAACCTTCAACCTGAGTGTGATGAAGTTTCATTCTTAATTTCGAACAGTTCATGTCTGAAAGAACAATAAAATCTGTCATGTGTTTTGCAGTGCCTGAGAAGCAAGACCTGTCCCACAGAACATACATTTGTTCAGTACTGTACAGGGTACACAAACAGGTTACTTCTTCTCGTCACCCTGAAGAAACTTGAAGGCTGAGCTGAAGTCTTTGCCCCCAAAGCCGTGGTTGACCATGGTCCTGTAGATCTGATGAGCTGCGGAGCCCAGGGGAGTGGCGGACTTGCTGGAAGTGGCGGCACTCTGAGCCAGACCCAAGTCCTGCAACACAAGACAGCAGAACTCTCTACATGTGTGGTTTGGCAGGGCGTGGCGTGCTGTCTACAGTATCTTTTGTTTCAGTGTGGTGTCTTGTTTATAGTGTGGAGTTGCATCAAGTGGAGAGATTGGTTGTGGAGAGATTGGTTGTGCAGTTGACTGAGTGCCTCTTATAATCTACATGGAGTGAATATTTCGGAAATTACTTCTTACTGAGAAACATGATTAGCTTCCTACTGCCATGGTTTCATTGTTAAGAAAAATTTGATCAACACAAATGGGACACAGCCAAGTCAGCTACCCTGACCACCTGATCTCGTTAGTCAGCTCTTATGACAAGCATTGACTGTCGGCTGCCCTTCATGTGAAGTGATAGGCCCTGGGGACCGGTTCTACTCCAGAATCCCGACAGGGGACCCTTTATTTTTAGTGATAGACTCTGGTACATACTATACAACACACATGGACAGGAAGAAATGAAAACAGACCTTTGCCATGAGTGCCGTCCCGAAGCCCCCTTGGTAGTTGTTGCTGGAGGGCACGCCGTCCACCACACCGGGCACCGGGTTGTAGACCTCGCTGGACCAGCAACGCCCTGAACTCATGTTGAGGATTTTCGCCAGGAGCTTAGGGTCCAGGCCCAGTCTGAAACACATCAACTTCCTGGTCACAGATACTGTTTGTTTGTTGTTCATATATATACTACTCAAAAGAAGTTAAGGAACATCCGATTCTTTCAAATGGCTACAGCTAATCTCTCATGACAGATTAACTCGATAGTCACATGTAAGATGTGTTCCTTAACTTATTTTGAGTAGTATATATATAGCCACACTAGCAATTACAGCTACATACCACTGCGCTATAACCGAGTTAGCCCTTTATTGAAGGGCGCAATAGCATAAAGTGGTCTGTATATAATCGAGGCAATGCAGTGACTGAGATCATTGGGATACGTTGACATTCATCGAACAAGTAAGTGAGCCCTCCGACCTGATCCCATTAGTCGCCTCTTACGACAGGCATGGGTTGCTGAAGACCATTCTAACCCTTAAGGGGGGTTCAAGGTTACTGATGGAAAACTGAACTACACTGATAAAACTAATAAGACAGAAGGGTCATAATAACTACTGTCCAGTATCATCCAGGTTCTAATTAAAAATGTGTGAGACAGCAACCGGGAAAGGGTATATCCCACCCTGTGTCAAGTTACGTATTACCAAATTATATCTAATTGCTTCGAGTTAATCTACACTTTTACATTAATGATTGCTTCCCTTGGTGATGACTGCAGCAATTGTAATCTCACAATCTACATGCATGGCCCATCTGAAGTCATTTCACTATTATTATTTCGTAGTAGTCTTCAAAGATATTATCTATACCATTGTATACTGTTTCATGTAATTGTGTGTAAAAGTCCCAAGAGTTTATATATAATTTGGAATTTGACAATGCTAAATAATATTATGTCAGTTCCCGGCAGTTATGAGTAGGGCCAAGAAGGGGACAAAATAAACGAGGTGAGGTGAAAAGGGGTTGAGGGTCGCGTCCATGCTCTCTCTCTCTCCCTCTCCCCCTCTAGATCAAAGTTATCTTGTATAGTTTCATATGATATTACATACATTCTCTCTCTATCATCAGCTCCGAGAAGTCAGTCTCAATGTGTTTCGTGAGAATATATAAAAAGATCCCGGATCTAAGTTAACTATTTTTAAACTGACAATAAACTGTCAGGTAACTGTCTGTGTGTGTGTTTGTGTGTGTGTGTGTGTGTGTGTGTGTGTGTGTGTGTGTGTGTGTGTGTTTACTAGTTCAGACTGATGCATATTTATAGTGCTAGCCCACTGAGATATCATGCCGCAGTTTAACATGAATACCCCACTCATACACAGTATACTGACTCCAATCCGACCAATCCTTGTTTTAGCCCCTTAATGCCGAGCGGCAGAGAGGGTAACAACAAGTACCATCTTTTATCTAGGACACGGCCGGAGATCCTACCACGGACATTCCGCTCTCCGGGCAGACGCTCTACCACTAGACCACGGAGGCGGCCCTGTCCGTATCACTGCATCGCTAAAAGCTATACCCATCGAAGACAGAAACACATCCAATCAAAGAGTGATCCTATAGGACAATGATACAGGGATGGGAAGACAGAATAGGAATCTCTGCAGGGACTCACTTCATGCCCAGGTTCATGGTCTCCGATGTCCCGATCATGGAGATGCCCAGCAACATGTTGTTACAGATCTTAGCTGCCTGCAACACAAATAGGAGACATGAGGCTGTCATGTTTGTTTGTTTGTTGGTTGGTTAGGTCGCTTTGACCTGTGAAGATTCCAGGGTAGAATAGGTCTTCAGCAACCCATTCTTGCCGTAAAAGGTGACTATGCTTGTCGTAAAAGGCGACTAACGGGATCGGGTGGTCAGGCTCGCTGACTTGGTTGATGCATGTCATCGATCCCAATTGCGTGGATCGATGGTCATGATATTAATCACTCGATTATTTACAGACTGCCGTCATATAGCTGGAATATTGCTGAGTGCGGCGTTAAACAACAAACCAACCAACCAACCTCATTGGGCTTTATGAAGGCGACCTGTAAATAATCATATCTGGACCAGACAATCCAGTGACTGATATTGTGAGCACTGATCTACGCCGCCTTGGTCCGATGTGACACATTCAGCCAAGTCTGACCCTCCGATCCATTACTCTGCCTCTTAGGACCAGCATAGGTTGCTGTAAAGGTTTGTTTTGGTTTGTTTGTTGTCTAACGCCACACTCAACAATATTCCAGCTATATGACAACGGTCAGTAAGTATTAAAGTCTGGACCAGACAATCCAGTGATTGATGTCATGAGCATCAATCCACGCAAATGGAATACCATGACATGCATCAACCAAGTCAGCGAGCCTGACCACCCGATCCCAATAGTTGCCTCCTACGACTAGCATTGTCACCTTTTATATCAAGCATGGGTTGCTCAAGACCTATTCTAACCAAGATGTTCACGGGTTGCCATGAGCTAGTGACATTAAGCAAAAACATGTTACCACCCAGAATCGGGTGTGAACCACAACAGGGGTACACATAACTGATCCTGCCCTCAATACTCACTTGACCTGTCCCGACAGCACCACAGTGCACAACGTTTTTGCCCATGAGCTCCAGGTAGACTTTGGCAGCATTGAATCCTTGGTCTGATCCGCCCACCATAAAGGTCAGGAGGGCATCGCGGGCAGCGTTCACACCTACACAGAAACCACACATTCGTCACCACTCGCTCTCCGTAACCTGCAAGAAGACTCGTTCCCCTATCGATGAATGTTATGTGCGAAAATACGACAAACCAATCAGAATGCGCGTATGATTTTAAGTTCTTCGTCAAAGTATCCCTCGGAAATAATTTCTGTTTTTACATATGTGTTGCATCTAAAAATATACCCAAGACACAGTTAAATGTGTTCAATCATACTGTATAATTTCGCATGTCCTGATGTGCTTTTAATTGCGTCTGAAATATAAATGATATATGGGGAAATATATGTGAACCATTGCGCAACGAGTTGACAATTGTTTTATGTATGCCCGTTTGCGCTAAGACGGAACCCAGTTGCAAAAATGGCCATGAGAGGGGCATGAGTCGCTATTCGGCTTGTCCCGGAATAACACGAGTTGGTCACGAATGAGAAACCACACTGGGGTCAAGGTCACATATGATTGGCTGGGCAAGCTGGCCGAAATTAGTGTTACTTTCATTAGAACTTAAACAATATGATGTAAGCTTGCTTGCCAGTTGATGTGGTAGGAAGCAAGTATGGATGCAGCCTTTTAGAAAACATAGTTTTTTGGACATGTTGGAATGGGGTGGGGATCACTTATAATACAAAAATTGCCTGCACATAATGTGGGCAACTATTTGTGTTTGTCAGCTAGAAATCAGCCCTCTCAGTTCATTCTTTTTGTCAGGGAGCCAAGTGGTTCCTATCATGAATACTTTAGGAGCCAAACCTAAGATTTTAGGAGCCAACAGATATCTTTAACAGATATTGTCACTAGCTATGTTGACTTTTAGGTAGCCAAGTGGCGAGCACTAGCTAAATTTAGGTCGCTTTTGGCCACCAAAATGTAGTAAATTAATTGTAATTTTGTAAAAAACATATCACTAAATGATTTAGTTAATGGTTTTGGATATGCCAACATGACCAGTATGCTTCAATGGGGGTGGTGTGCATACCTGAACCCCCCTACTCTGGCACTACATTTTGGAACCAATAGTGACACAGATCATAGTTGCTTACCACTCTGAGAAATAAGGGCCACAACTTGCCTTGACAACTGGGTTGCACAACTTACCAAAGTCTCAAGACATGCATGCACACCCCAAAGGATGCTGTATTCATCAAGAGGCTGTATCTATGTCCAGATGCACACGATACCATTGCCTTAGACTACAGTTGGTCGGTTGGTTGGTTTGTTGTTTAACGCCGCACTCAGCAATATTCCAGCTATATGACGGCGGTCTGTAAATAATCGAGTCTGGACCAGACAATCAAGTGATTTACATCATGAACATCGATCCACGCAATTGGGATCTATGACATGCATCAACCAAGTACGTGAGCCTGACCACCCGATCCCGTTAGTCGCCTTTCACGACAAGCATAGTCACCTTTTACGTCAAGCATGGGTTGCTGAAGACCTATTCTACCCCGATTCTTCACGGGTCCCTTAGACTACAGGGCTGGTGGGCACATAAAAGTTTGGATCATCTTGTGTCAACTAAAGCTAGGATTATCTTGTGTTAACTAAAGCTTTGATCATATTTGTCAACTAAAGCTAGGATTATCTGGTGTCAACTAAAAGCTAGGATTATCTTGTGTTAACTAAAGCCTTGATCATATTGTGTCAACTAAAGCCTTGATCATATTGTGTCAACTAAAGCTTGGATCATCTTTTGTCAACTAAAGCTTGGATTATCTTGTGTTAACTAAAGCTTTGATCATATTTGTCAACTAAAGCTAGGATTATCTGGTGTCAACTAAAAGCTTGGATCATCGTGTGTCAACTAAAGCTAGGATCATCTTGTGTCAACTAAAGCTAAGATCATCTTGTGTCAACTAACAGCTAGGATCATCTTGTGTCAACTAACAACTAGGATCAGCTGTGTCAACTAAAAGCTGAGATCATCTTGTGTCAACTAACAGCTAGGATCAGCTGTGTCAACTAAAAGCTAAGATCATCTTGTGTCAACTAACAACTAGGATCAGCTGTGTCAACTAAAAGCTAGGATCAGCTGTGTCAACTAAAGCTAGGATCAGCTGTGTCAACTAAAAGCTAGGATGATCAAGTGTCAACTAACAGCTAGGATCATCTTGTGTCAACTAAAGCTAGGATCAGCTGTGTCAACTAAAAGCTAGGATCATCTTGTGCCAACTAAAGCTAGGATGATCTTGTGTCAACTAAAGCTAGGATCATCTTGTGCCAACCTAAGCTAGGATGATCAAGTGTCAACTAAAGCTAGGATCAGCTGTGTCAACTAAAAGCTAGGATCATCTTGTGCCAACTAAAGCTAGGATGATCAAGTGTCAACTAAAGCTAGGATCAGCTGTGTCAACTAAAAGCTAGGATCATCTTGTGCCAACTAAAGCTAGGATGATCAAGTGTCAACTAAAGCTAGGATCAGCTGTGTCAACTAAAAGCTAGGATCATCTTGTGCCAACTAAAGCTAGGATGATCAAGTGTCGACTAACAGCTAGGATCATCTTGTGTCAACTAACAGCTAGGATCATCTTGTGTCAACTAAAGCTTGGATCATCTTGTGTCAACTAAAGCTAGGATCAGCTGTGTCAACTAAAAGCTAGGATCATCTTGTGCCAACTAACAGCTAGGATGATCAAGTGTCAACTAAAAGCTAGGATCATCTTGTGTCAACTAACAGCTAGGATCATCTTGTGTCAACTAAAGCTTGGATCATCTTGTGTCAACTAAAGCTTGGATCAGCTGTGTCAACTTAAAGCTAGGATCATCTTGTGCCAACTAACAGCTAGGATGATCAAGTGTCAACTAAAGCTAGGATCATCTAGTGTCAACTAACAGCTAGGATCATCTTGTGTCAACTAACAACTAGGATCATCTTGTGTCAACTAAAGCTTGGATCATCTTGTGCCACCTACCTCCTGACACTGGGGCATCGACAAAGGTTGCTCCCTTGCTCTCTGCCACCTGGGCCATGGCTTGAGACACAGCAGGGTCGATCGTGCTGCTGTCAATCAGCAAGGTGCCTTTCTGAAGCTTACTGAAAATAACAACCCAATGTGAGTGAGTGAGTGAATTCAACAAAATACTATATAAACAAGCATGAAATACTCATATTCCCGCCAATATGAGACGTTTGGTTGTGTGCAAGGCAAGGAATATTGTACGTTTTTCATGATCTGCTCCATAAAGGAGCACTACTGCCATTTTGAGTCTATGTCGAAGTTGTTGCCGTGGAAACTAAATTTTTAAAATATCCCAAAATATCAAAAGGCACCAGTTCACTACTATATCTTTCTATGTGCCAAGTTTGGTTAAGATATCTCTCATGGTTTTTCTGCTCCGGTTACGAAAGGTGACAGACAGACAGCGCCCATCCCTATATCCCCCTTCCACTTCGTGGTGGGGGATAATAATATACTGAACCACAAAAGAAACATCACCATGGATAGATATATGAGAAACCTTATTCGTCCAAACACTGTAAACATACTTTGAGACATATTAAAAAGATGAAACTTGGCAAAACAGATCATCAAAGTTGAAATAAAGTGTCAAATGTTCTTAAAGTGAAACACAACACTAGCCTCTGAGAAAATGGCATCACAAGTCAGTATCTCGTGTGTCCGCCATGTACATTAAGTCTGCCGTGCAACGTTGATACATGGAATGGATGAGGCATTTGATGAAGGGCATAGGCACCTGAGCCCACACTCAGAGCAACGCCTGACGCAGTTCGTCTGAAGTTGTCGGCCTTGGTCGGACGTTATTTAGCCGTCTTTGAATCTCGTCCCACAGGTGCTCATTGGGATTTAAATAGGGACTGGGGGCAGGCCACTGCATGGTTCTGATGCCATTCTGCTGGTGGAAGTCTCTTGTTGCTCTCGCAGTGTGGGCACGGGCGTTATCATGCTGAAACTCGTGGTTGCGGCGATGTGCCAAATGAGGTATGGCGTGTGGCCTCAAGACTTGATCAATGTACCGAGCTGCTGTGACACCATTGCCTCTACCAGGACCGATGTTGTGGGAGACCACAGGGCTGACCCTCTGTGCAAGACCAATTCCACCCCACACCATGATGCTCAGACCACCCCACGAGTCTCTCTCAACAACAGTCATCTGAATAATGTTCCTCACGACGTCGCCAGATTCTCTCTATGCCATCTGCCGATGAGATACAGTAATGGCTCTCGCCTGAGAAGAGGACCCTTCTCCACTGCTGGTGACGCCAATGCTAGTCCTGTGTTGCCCACTGAAGACAGTCCTAGCAATGACGTGGTGTCAGAATGGGTGGCCTGTGACAGTGGAGGTGTCTTCTTGTCAATTGTTGAAACACGGTGTCCGCACTTATGTGTCGCTGGTACGAGGGGTGTTCATTAAAGATTTCCCCTGACCCACTTTCGATGGACCTAGTGGAATGAAACATGGCATAGGTATTAGTCTTTCTCCACATAGGAACCACAAAGAGTTACACACTTATCCCATCGTTTAATGCAACTATGGAGACCTCGCTTGTAAAAGCCCTCATCTTGCGTCTCAAACCAGGACTTGACTTCAGAAATCAGTGTTTCATCATCTGTGAAACGTTGTCCCTTCAGAAATGACTTCATGGTTGGAAAGAGGTGGAAGTCAGATGGTGCAAGGTCAGGAGAGTGAGGAGGATGTGGAAGGATTTCATAGCCAAAGGACTGCGCTTCTGTCTGGGCAACATGAGAGTTGTGTACTGGAGCATTGTCTTGCAGGAAACGGACACCCTTGGTCACCATGCCACGCCTCTTAAGCTTGATAGCGTCCCGCAATTTCCGCAGCAGTGAAGCATGATAAGCTCCTGTCATTGTGGTACCCTTTGCCAAGAAATCCATCATCACTACTCCAGGCTGGTCCCAAAACACCGTGAGCATGACCTTGCCTGCAGAGGGTTGGACACGTGCCTTCTTTAGGGGTGGTGACTCCACATGCTTCCATTGCATCGACTGAACTTTAGTCTCAGGATCTTAGTGATGGACCCATGTTTCATCCTGTGTGATAAGTCTGTCAAAAATGTTTGCCTGTTTTTTTGGCACATGTCCAAAAGATCCTTTGAGCAAATGACTCGTTCCTGCTTTTGGAAAGGTGTGAGCAACCTGGGAATCCATCGTGCAGACACCTTATGCATGTTCAAATTGTCATGGATGATTTTTTCCACAGACCCTACACTGATCTTGACATCTTGTGCTAACTGGCAAACAGTTATTCGTCGGTCTGCCAAAATGGCGGTCTCCACTTGATGGATAGTGTCCTCATCAATGGCTGAATGGGGGCGACCAGGAATGGCGGCTGTTTCCACAGATGTCCGACCACACTTGAACTGGCGATGCCAGTGTTTAACAACGTCATATGATGGGGCATCTTCCCCATAAGTTGCTTTCATTTCATCGAAAGTTTCTTTTGGTGTGCGACCTTTCAAATATAAAAACCTAATTACTGCTCGGTATTCTACTGGCTCCATTGTGACACCCTACTCGATCATAACACCTGTTAAAGTGGTAAGATTAATAGTTTGGTGCTGCAATTCAGACATAACCCATAGATACATGTATCATTACACATGTGAAATTTCAACCAAATATGATAATCCTAAGTGGTTTGAGGAAATCTTTAATGAACACCTCGTATGTCCGCATGGTCTGTCGAGCAGTTTCTGCAGCAGTAACATATCTTGAAGATGCTGTAGCAGTCTGACAATCCTGACGTCGGGTGGTGACCCTTGGTCATCCACTACGTGGTCGGTCATCTGTTGTGTTGGTGGTCTGGTACCGTAGCTGGAGCCTGTATATGGTCCTTACGTGGACTTGAAATGCATTGGCTACTTGCCGGGCGGTTTGTCCAGCTTGCAATCGTCGAAGGGCTTGGTGTCGCTGATTTCTTGTCAATCTTAGCATGTGGTAGCCATTCAATAACAAATGAATGTTATCCGATCTGGGTGGATTTTTATAGGGCAAGAAATAGGGGAACGCATGTGCATTTCAATCTGCACGGAACTCACTTGCATCGGGTTACCATGGTCGTTGCTGTGATGCGTTTGGGTGATCGGTTTTATTGTCATCTGCTTTGTTTTTTTATAATCAAATATCATTTTTCCGGACAAGGTAATGTTAAATTTGAGAAACTTTGACAAAAATTACCCAGATATATAAATGACAACTTTTCATGCAATGGTACTTGGGGTGACGTTTCTTTTGCGGTTCAGTATATTGAATTAAAGTCACTGCATTTCAGCTGAAAATGTTAAGATTGTTTTTGTTTCTTGTTTGCATAACAGAAACATCTGATGATGTTCCTATATTGAATTTATGCAGTACTAATGGGTTATTGGCAACCATTAGGTTAGCAGAAAAATATTGGGTGGGGCGTCACCCGAGAAAAGTTTACACAATTTGGTGTCTTTGTCGCACATGTCATGTCAAAACTTAAAACTCAAAACACTTACAACCTAAACGTTTAGTGTTAAAGGGAGGCTACTCTTCAAACCTCAGAGGCCAAACCTTGTTGATAACTTGATATAATCTTTATCAAAGTCACGAACATGATCCAAAACATTAACGTCCTTGAACATCAAAATTAATTATATTAAAACACACTACAGTGTAGACAGGAAGTCTAAGCAATGGTGAGTGAGTGAGTGAGTGAGGTTTTACGCCGCTTTTAGCAATTTTCCAGCAATATCACGGCGGGGGACACCAGAAATGGGCTTCACACATTGTACCCATGTCGGGAATCGAACCTGGGTCTTCGGCGTGACGAGCGAACGCTTTAACCACTAGGCTACCCGACCGCCCCTCTAAGCAATGGGATGTGGTAGACATAACATCATTGTCTTACATACACCAAATATCAGCTATATCGATGTTACTAGATTTTACAAAACTCTCCTCCTAGTCATTCCCCGGAGCGGGGAAGGTTGGTGGTTCGATCTCTGGACACGTCATACCAAAAGATGTTAATAGATATTAATTATTGTTACCCTGCAGGCCTTCAGCTGAAGGAGATAAAAGAAGGATTGGTCGGCTTGGAGGCTGTATACTGTGTCTGAGTGGGTTATTCGTGTTAAACTGTGGCATGGTGTCTCCAAGGGCTAGACTATATAACCAGCATTAGTCTGGAGTAGTACAAGCAACCAAACAAATACACACACTCATGAAATCAGATGAGTACTGAACCTCTGGTGCTATTGCTTCACTTGATGTGTTCTAGAATCAAAGTGAGCAACCTGGTGCTGGTGCTGTCGAAACAATCTTGAACCATTATGATGATGCCATGCTATTGTTGATGCAGTTGATTCAGAAATTCTCTGGCCATGGTGAAAGTGCAACAGAACAATAAAAATTGATACTCCAGCAATATCACGGCGGGGAGCACCAGAAATGGGCTCCACACATTGTACCCATGTGGGGATTCGCAACCCGGGTCTTTGGCATGGCTAGCAAATGCCTTAACCACTAGGCTACCCCACTGACTCCACACAAACACAGTAATGAGATGAGGTATGGTGTGACACGCCTTGTGTCTACTGCTTCATACAATTATTTTATGTAGCGTCATAACTATTGACATTCACAGAGCTACAGATTAGCTGCGTATTTGCGTAAAATACTCCCCAAAATATTCAAAACCCAATTACTTTTAATTAACTTGCATGCAGAAACACATGCATTAAATGGAAAACTCAAATGTATAAAAACAGCATGCGTAAATACCCAATGAAGATTTTTAAACATGTATACAATGAAGCTAATTTCAGAAACACAATTACGGGCTAATTTACTTTCTGAGTTAAGCCTATAGTTGGAACCCTTATATGCATTTAAAACATTATTTTGTTTATTTTTGAAACCTCAAAATGTTAACTCAGTTTGGGGAAAACCCAATAGAGTGATGAATAGATGAGTGAAAAAATATTGGTTACCCTGTGAAAAATGTAATACCGTATTCGACGTAATAAGCGCCCCGCTCTAATAAGCGCCCACGGCAATATTTGCTCATATATTGGCTAATGAACAA